TCTCTATATGGAGGAAGTGGAACAGAGAGCCCTACACTCCTTTGAGGGAACAATGCCAAGCCATTGGTTCAGATATCTAGATGATACCTGGGTCAAAATCCAAGCCAAGGAAATAGAAGCGTTCACCAGACACATTAACTCGGTCGATAACAACATCAAGTTCACTAGAGAAGATCCAAACGACAACAAGCTGCCTTTTTTGGACTGTTTGGTTCAGATAGAAAGAGAGGACAGCCTCAACATTGAAGTTTACAGAAAACCAACCCACACAGACCAGTATCTTCTGTTTGACTCTCACCATCCACTGGAACACAAACTCTCTGTCATCAGAACTTTACAGCGTCGGGCCAACGCATCCCCACGAAGACAGAAGGTAAGGAAAAGGAACAGAAACACATTCAAGAAGCTCTTCAAACATGTGGATATCCTAACTGGGCTTTTGTCAAGTCAGCGAGGAAATCTACAAAACATCCCAATAAACAGAAAAAGGAGAACAACAGACGGAAAAACATTGTCATCCTTTATGTTGCTGGAGTATTAGAGAAATTCAGAAGGATTTTCAAAAAACACAACATCCCAGTACATTTCAAACCCAGCAGGTTTCTCAGGTCATTTTCACACCAGATGGTCTGGTAGACTCGGTTCGGGACCAATATTCATGACCATTTGTTTACATTTGAGCTGGTGCGTTTGCATTCACACTGCACTGTGCAGTCAAGTCAACCTGTTGAACCAACCTATTCCCCTGCTTGCCTGTGGGGGCGCTACACCAAGAACTAATGAAAGAAACGACACAAAAACCTCTGAAGACACATCTTCTTCTTCTGTAAATAAAAACAAAAACGAAGTGGCATCAAGTTTTAGCAATTTTAGGAGTTATAGTTTGTCATTTTTCAAAAATGGACTTAGAATGAGCAGAAGATGAGACAGAAGACCATGGAGAATATTGTTTTTCCACACAAGGCAGCTGACGGCTCCATATAAGGTAAGATAAATGCGTGTTTGTTTGTCCTGCGGAGCGGGGCCCGGTCTGTTTGCATTCACACTGTACTCGAACCGTGCTGGAGTTCGTTTCTACCGGACCAAGACCTAGGTTTTAGCCCGGGCCAGAGTTCGCCTTTTTGTTCCGTGACAGAGTTTGATGGCGCGTTCACACCTCTCTAAACGAACCGGACTTTCTAGGAAAACGAGATAGAGTTCGATTAAAGCGGACTAAACAGGGCTGGTGTGAATGCAGCCTATATCTCTATATTGGAGAAACCAAACAGTTACTTCACAGACTCATGATTCAACAATACCATACCAATTTATTTATAAAGCACTTAAAACAGCAACAAGGCCAACCAAAGTGCTGTACAGACAAAATAACAGGTAACGCACAAAGCAATATAAAAAATGAGGTAAATCAGAATATAGACAAAAAACGATGCAGATAATGATGACAAACCAGTGTGGAGCATACAGGATCAAAACACAGATCATCTTGTGTTGAAAGCTACTGAATAGTAGCGAGTTTTTAAACGGGACTTGAAAACCAAGAGGGTGGGGGCCTGTCTGACAAGCAGAGGTAACTCGTTCCAGAGTCTTGGTCCTGCTACAGAGAAGGCCCTGTCACCTCTGCGCTTAAGCCGAGTCCCTGGAACTGTGAGGAGCAACTGGTCCGCTGACCTCAGGGAGCGTGGTGGGACATACGGCTGTAGCAGATCAGAGAGATGGGGGGGCCGACACTGTTCAGTGATTTGTAGACATACATGAGTATTTTGAACTGGATTCGAAAGTGAACCGGTAACCAGTGTAGTGAGGCCAAAACTGGTGTAATGTGCTCTCTTTTGCCTGTACTGGTTAAAAATGGGGCTGCTGCATTCTGGACCAGTTGTAGTCGTGCAATGGAGGTCTGACTGATACCAAACAGGAGCGAATTGCAGTAATCAAGCCTAGATGTAATGAATGCATGTATTACTGTCTCCAGGTTCTTTTTGGACAATATGGGCTTCAGTTTAGACAGCCGCCTCAGTTGGAAGAAACATGATTTAACAATCATGTTTACATGATTGTTAAGTTTCAGGGAAGGGTCCATTATCACGCCCAGATTAGTGACTCTTTGTTTTTCTGACAGGGTTAGAGCGGAAAGGTCGATGCAGTGGTTTGTGATTGTGTCGTTGGGAGGGAACAACATGACTTCAGACTTCTTTTCATTGAAACTTAAGAAATTTAAAGCCATCCAGTCCCTGATGACAGCCAGGCAGTTGAGCAGAGGTTGAATAGAGCATGTACCATTGTGTCTTAGGGGGAAGTAAATTTGACAGTCATCGGCGAAGAAGTGGAAGGGCATGTTGTGTTTTCGGAAAATAGCACCAAGCGGCAGCAGGTATAAAGAGAATAGGAGGGGACCCAGTAGGGGACCCTGTCGAACCCCCCCATTTAAGCTTTGCCTCTACAGAACTAAAATCCTTGATGGAGACACAAAAGGATCTGTCAGTGAGGTAAGATCTGAACCAATTGAGGGCTGATCCTGTGACACCCACCCACTGCTCCAACCTAGCAATGAGGCTCTCATGGTCGATGGTGTCAAAGGCGGCTGTGAGGTCCAACAGGACAAGCAGCACAGAATCACCGGTGTCTGTGAATCTGAAGATGTCGTTAAAGACCTTCAGCAGGGCAGTTTCAGTGCTGTGGAGAGGTTTAAAGCCAGATTGGAAAAGCTCTAAGATGGCGTGATCCTCCAGGAAGCACTTCAACTGGGACTCGACTATTTTCTCCAGTACTTTAGAAACAAATGGGAGTTTGGAGACAGGCCGGAAGTTGGAAACGACTGAGGGGTCAAGGTTTGTTTTCTTTCAGGAGAGGCTGGACAGCAGCATGTTTAAAGGATTTTGGCACCACGCCAGTGGATAAACTACTGCTTACTATGGCAAGAATGGACGGACCTAGAGTAGGAAAAACCTCCTTTAGTAGTCGAGGGGGGACCACATCAAAGGGGGAGCCAGAAGGTTTCAAGCTGCACATGACCTGCTCTAGAGAAGATAGAGTGATGGGTTCAAAATGGTCAAAAGGAGCTACAGATTGAGGTGGGATGGATGGGTCATGAGTTGGAGGGGAAATGACAGCCCTGGTGGTCACAATTTTTTTACAAAAAGAAATGTAAGAAGTTGTCGCACAGCTCAGTCGAGGCTTCCAGAGGTGATGGTTCGGTGAGATGGAGAAAAGAGTTTAGGGTGGAGAAGAGTACACGTGGGTTGTGAGAGTTTGAGGTAATTATATCAGAGAAGTATTTGGATTTAGCAGCTTTTACTGTTTTCTGATAACAGCGCCAACTCTCTTTAAGTATTTGAAAAGAGACCTGCAGCCTGTCTTTCCTCCACTTTCGCTCCACCCTCCTACATTGCTGCCTAACGGCCTTGGTGACGTCACTCAGCCAAGGTTCTGCTCTGAGTTTTGATTTTTTGGTTTTAACGTGTGCAACATGATCCAGAGTCTTTAAGCAGACAGAGTTGAATTAGGATGTCAGCTCCTCAGTGGTGGTGAGAAACACTGGGGCTAAATGATCATTTCAAAGTTATAAACATCTGTGAAGCGTGTGGCAGTGAAGTGGTTAATGGTCCGGGTGCGACGTGCAGGAATGCAGGACTTAGGAGTTAGATGGGGGAGGGTGAACTCAAACCGGACTGGCATGTGGTCTGAAAAAACATTATCACCAATAACAAGATTATTAACAGTCACATCATGAGTTAAAACAAGGTCCAGTGTATGTCCACGCTCTTGGGTGGGACCGTTTACATGCTGAGTTAGATTAAATGAGTCCAATAAATCTAAAAAGTCCTTAACCAAGGGCTTCTCAGGACAGCACAAGTGCAAATTAAAGTCACCAATAATGAAAAGATGCTCATATTTTGGTGTGATTTCAGCCAAGAAGTCAGAAAACTCATTTATGAAATCCTTAGATCGAGGTGGGCGGTAGACGAGTGCAAATAAAGTCTGAGGTGGATGTCCGAGTTCAAAGACGCTCAGTTCAAAGCTGGCATGTGAAACTGGGATGGGCAGTTGTTTACAGTCAAAAGTTGATTTGAATATTGTTAATAATCCACCACCGCGCTGGCCTGATGGCCGCTGGGTGTTAAAACACAGACTGTTCGAGGGCAGTAATTCCGTCAAGGCGCTGGACTCACCCGGAGACATCCAAGTCTCTGTGATGCACAGAAAGTCCAAATCGTGCTGTTGAAAGTAATCCCTGAGGATAAAAGTTTTGTTGGTAGCAGATCTTGCGTTGACCAAACACATCCGGATATTGTCCAAAGTAGAGCCAGCAGCGGTGGAGTTAGCGTGCGCTAATGGCCGCAGGTTTTCAATAACAGCCCAGAGGTACGCTGATAATGGTCCAGATAAGCGACATCAGTGCCAGAAAAACGAAGATCCAAAAGTTGTCTGTCATACACCAGCAGAGAGTTGATGTCAATGATGAGGAATACAAAAAACAAAAATAATCCGAACACCATCAGCAGAGGTGGATTGCAAGCCATGTACACGGGCACCATCTTACCGGAAGTTCGGTGCAATGGAACAATGGAAAGCCACCTCCTCTGGACAAGACTCAGCTGTTCACCTCCAGCTCATGGTTAAGGGACACTCATTTGAGGACCAAAATGTGCACATCTTAGACCAAGAAAACAGATGGTTTGAGAGGGGGGTGAAGGAAGCCATCTATGTAAAGAGAGAAACCATCTCTAAACAGAGGAGGAGGCCTCAGATTTCAATTTTCAAAACATTATAATGCAGCTTTAGGAATGATACCCAGCCAGTTTCACACCTATCAGATGGGAACAGAGGGGCTTCATCTGTGAATTAGATTAACAAAGACCTTAACAAACCCCTGCTGTGAGGTGTGATATGTCAATCTGCATATGTATGTGTATCTTATCTCAGCTTTATAACCTGAGCCCCACATGCTCTACTCTTTGAATTGAGAAAACTTCTCAAATGAGAAGCGAAACATGGTGTCCTACCACGGTGTAGATGGCTGAGTAGAAGCTGAGCGCTGCATCTTTGGAGGGGAAGGACTTCCGGGCGGACATCACCAGGTATGGGTTTCCCATGCAGGCTCGCTGCTCTGTGACATATTGCAGTGGAGAATGGCAGCCTAGAGCAGTGTAGTTTGGCCTACAGGCAGACAGGAAGTGAGGTGTCTGGTTTCCTGTCACCACTTGACCAGCATTAGCGAAGATGGTGGTAGTAAAGAGACCAAAGGAGTAGACGCCTGAGTGGGAAAAGTGAGCAAAACGAAGCAAGTGATACAGTTAAAGGGATAGTTAGGTTGTTTTAGAAGTGAAAGTATCAATAGTTAGCTCCATATTAACCATGACATCATTTATAGAGTACAGAGTGTGGAGATACAGGAAAAAGTTGTCATCCAGGTGAGGCTAATGGCTAACCAAATGAGGGCCTGTTATTGATCATTTTTCAAGCTTCTAATAAAACTCTCTGAAAAAAGACAAATCCTTACAGCATCTAAAATAAAGCAGTATGTTGCCGTGAGAAAGATATGTTAGAAAGCATGAACAATGATAAAAGGGTAAAGAGGTTCTAAAACCTATACAAAGGACTGACCCAGAAAGCGTACGATCCTTCTGAGGAGAGGGTTGAAGTAACAGCAGTCGGCGGTCACAATGGTCTTCTCCTGCGCTCCCTCGCTCTTCACGAAGAAACTCACCACTTCCCCAATCAGAATCTGGGATACAACAGAAAGAGATGAACAGGTTTGTCAAAACTCAAAGCTAAAGCAAAGCTAAGGAGCTGATCAGCTCCAATGAATATTTTGCCACCAAAAGAGGTTCATGAGTGATCGTTCCTCAGCCTTGTGGTGATTGAAATGTCCCTCATCATTTGGCTGCTTCGAACATCTCAACATAAACACCTCAAGTTTGTAATCAGTGGGAGTTTGTTGTCTTGCAGTGCTTTTTACCTCTCCGTTTCATGTTTTGTTCTCCATTTCCATAAAACAGAACAAATCTTCAGACATGAACTCAACTTTTGGAAGATGAGCTTAAGGTTCAAGGTTCTTTATTGCCAGTCGTATCACATGGTACATGACGTGGAATTTAACTGTGTACTCAGGGTCCCAGTTACATCCAAAGATAGCTAAAATATAAAGTATAAAAATAAACCGTATACAAGGATCTAAGATATACACTAAACACTAATAATGTAAAATATGTTATATAAAAGCGGGCAGCACGTGGCGCAACTGGTAGAGCTGCTGCCTCTCAGCGAGCAGGTCCCTGGTTCAAACCCTGGTCCAGGGGCCTTTCTGGGTGGAGTTTGCATGTTCTCTCCGTGCATGCGTGGGTTTTCTCCGGGTACTCCGGTTTCCTCCCACAGTCCAAAAACATGCATGTTAGGCTGATTGGTAACTCTAAATTGTCCCTAGGTGTGAGTGAGAGAGTGAATGTTTGTTTGTCTCTATGTGGCCCTGTGATGGACTTGCGACCCGTCCAGGGTGTACCCCGCCCCTCGCACAGTGATTGCTAGACATGGGCACCAGCGACCCCCGTGACCCAAAATGGAATAAGCGGGTAAAGAAAATGGATGTTATATAAAAGCAGTCTGAACATGAAACTGTAGTGAGTAAATGTGTATGAACTGGTATCGACTTGATGATGTGTCTATCTCTGCTGCCATTTGTGAATGTTAAGGACGCATAATTAATTGGATTTATGATAACTGATTCCTGCTTTTTGGATTCGGCTGGTTGCTGGTTTGATCAACAATCAAGGAAGTCGTCGGCAGCAAATTTGGACCCGATCACACTGCTTGCCTTTTTGATGGCTTGGTTCGTGCCTCAAGTACCCAGACTCAAATGCTTTAAGCAGAATGGATCCGATCTTGGGGATTTTAATCAAGCACGTTCCATCGGAGTGGCCATGTAATTTGGACATTTCAGAACCGTTTGGACCGACACATACTCAAAGTAGATGCCACTAAGTTCTGCCTGTTCCCAAAACCACTGTGTGTTTATCTGAATTTGGCTCCCTTCGCTGGCCTTGAAGGCCATCTTATCTGAAGTTGCCTGGAGAGCATGTAATCTGAAATATTAACCATCTCCGCCCTTCTCTCACACCCCGCTCCACAGCCATCCTTGTGCACAGTCTTGTGACTTCTCAGATTGACTACTGCAACTCCCTTCTTTATGGCCTCCCCATCAAATCTCTCCAGAAGCTGCAATTGGTCCAGAACTCAGCTGCCCGTGTCATAACTCAAACCTCCTCCTATAACCACATCGCTCCTGTCCTGCAGCAGCTCCACTGGCTCCCGGTAAAATCATGCATCGTCTTCAAAATTCTTCTTCTCACTTTCAAAGCTATCCACAACCTTGCCCCTCCTTACCTATCTGACCTCCTACACATCTCCATCCCCTCTCGCTCTCTCAGATCCTCCTCTTCACTACACCTCCATATACCCTCTGCCTGCCTCTCCACCATGGGGAGCAGGGCCTTCACCTGCTCTGCCCCTCATCTCTGGAACTCTCTACCCCCTGACTTACGAAACACCACATCTCTTTCTCTATTCAAGACTGCTCTGAAAACACATCTCTTTAGATCCAAAAAAGTTCAATCTGGTCCTCTGGACATTCAAAAAACAAGAAAACAAAAACAACAAAAAACAAAACAAAGCAAAAAAAATGTAGAAACGTTTCGTCTCTCATCCGAGAGACTTCCTCAGTCTGAGGTGCTGTATTCAGCTCAGTATCTTAAATAGCACCTTCTCAGAGTGGATCAACCAGTTTGCTGCTGACAACCAAAACCAGCTGCTCACATGGTCAAAAAGGACCATCAGCCTAACAATGGATCATTAGCAGGCTGATGGCTGTTTACTGTTCACAGAGGGCTGAGTGATACTAGCAATCACAGCATTGTAAGAGGGGGACAGTTGAACTCTGAGGCCTCCACCCCTGTTTAATGATGGACAATTTCTTTTCACAAAGATGGCCTCCTTTACTCCTCTCTCAAACCATCGTTCCTCTCTGCCCAGGATGTGAACATCTTCATCCCTGAAAGAGTGACCACTGGCCTGGAGATGAGTGTAGACCACAGAATCCTGGCCTGATGATGTTGATCTTCTGTGCTGGGCCATCCTTTTGGCCAGTGGCTCTTCAATTTCCCCGATGTAAGACTGATCACAGCCCTCCTGACACTGAACAGCATACACAATATTTTTCTGTTTGTGCAGGGGGACTGGATCTTTGGGATGAACCAGTCTTTGCCGTAATGTATTTTGGGGTTTAAAAGTCACTGGGCTCTGGCCTGTGGGGATCGGGGATCTTGGGCTCTGGCGGGCGGGTTGCCGGGCTCTGGGCCGGCTTGCGCTCTGGTGCCCGGTTCTGGACGGGGGCCTTCGGCTCGCTGGTGGGTTGTGGGTTCATGGGCTGGGGGATTGGGTGTTTGGGGGCGTGACCAGTGGCCCCTAAGAGGGGGTAGTTTGACCCAGCCTAGGTGTCTAGCGTGCTATGTGTTTTGAGAGATGTCTGAATGAGGGGTGGGTGTACTATTTCTTCTGGGGTGGGGATGGGGTGGATGTCCTTGGGGGTGGCCCGGGACTGTGCATGGCCGGCTGGCTGGCCCCTTTCCTGTGGTAGGGGCTCACTCCGGTGCTGCCTGGCACTGTCGGCGGTTGGGTGGGCGCTCTTGGCCGGGTCGTCCTGGTGGGGTTTGGCTTCATCTGATAGCGGGCTGACTGCAGTTTGTGGGGGTCCTGGCGGCCCTCGGGTGTGTGGGCTGCTGGTACTGCTTCTGGCGGCCCTCGGGGCTCTGTCCCTCTCTGGTCTGGAGCTCAGCGGGCCTGGCGGTCGGTCCAGATGGAGAGGTGTCTTTGTCTCAATCCCTGGGTGGACCTTGGGGAGCTGGGGGGGGGGGGGCTGTTGGGTCAGTGGGGGAGCTGACTCCCTGTGGGAGCATTTGCTCTGTTATTTCTCCCCATCCCTCACCATGCACCTCCACCCTCTTCATTTCATTTCCATACATTTAAGGTTGTTTGGGCTCGGGTGTGCTACAACAATTTTACATCTTTGTTGACCATAGCCACCTGGGACTCAATTTTATTGTACACCTTAGACATTCATTCATAACATCCTCATGACATTCACATATAGGAACTTGAGGTGGGCACATGGCTGTGGGTGGTGGGATGACCTTACTCTCACCCCCTGTGCCTGTGCTCACTTACAACGGTTGCATTTAGACACTAGGGTTTGGATAGAGTTGGGGTGGAGGGGAAACTGGCATCATGCCAGCCTTTGCTCCTTCTTCTTTCCTTTTTAATGGCACTATACAACAACACACATCAACAGCACATCTAGGGGCGGGAGTGTATGTGTCGGGGTCTTATTTTTTTATTTTTTTATTTTTTTCCTCCCCCCCTAGTTCCCTGACTGCCATTCCGGGGGTGGGGTCCGGGAGAAGGGCAGGCCGTCGGGTTTTGACCAGGACTATGTGGGGGTTCGGGGTCTGGGGGGTTGCCGTGTGCGGTGCTGGCGCTGTGCTCTCCCTGGGGTTGTTTGGACCCCCTGAGCTTGGCTCTTGGGTGCCATGGTTGGCCCGCTGGCCGGGGTGGCTGCCGGGGCCTGGCGGGCGGTCGGCTGGGGGCGCGTGCTTGGCTGTTGGCGGTGTGTGGGGGTGGTCGGTGGCGTGTCCTCTTCATGGTGGGGGGGTGTCCTGTCGGCTGGGCATGGCCTGGGCCGGGTCTGGGGTATTGGCTCTTCTCCGCTTGAGAATGAATGGGTTTACCTCCTGGGTTTGGGCATGGGCTGCCCCCTGTAGAGGGCGGGTACATGTCTTGGACCTGGGGGGTATAGAGTGCGTATCGGGAATAAGAATGAAATGTATCGTTATTGTATGTCTTTGAGTGAATGAATGTGAGAATGAGGTTGGGATTGTGTGATTGTGTCTGTGTATGAATGGGTATTTGTTAGGCTGAGACTCGGACTGCCCCCTCTTTGATACAACTGGGGGTGCTTGGCATCGCGCCCCTATCGCGCGGCCCCCTGGTGGGGTGTGCTCTTGCCTGCCGGCGCGCTTGGGGCCCTTGGTGTCGGGGGCTGGGCACTTGGGCGTGTGTCGGCTCGGCCTGGTGTCTGCCTGGTGGGGCTCGGCCCTGTCGGGCCTTGGCCTGGGTGGTGTGAGTCCTCGGTGCCCGGGCCTCGGTGCCCGGGCCTGGACCTACATCGGTGCGGCGGGTTCCGACGGAGGCCTATGAGTTTGTCGCTGTTGGCCCCGGGGGGTCACTGTATGTGGTCGCTGGTGGGGATCTTCCGGTTCTCCCCTGTGGTCCGTTCTGGGGGGTGGATGAGTGGTTCGTCCTGTGTGGGTGGCCCTGGGGGCTCCGCGGTTGGGGTCCCTCCTGGGGTCTTGGGCTCTGGTCCCCCCCTTTTTCGTCTGCCTCTGGTCTTGGGGGTCGGGTCTCTGCTGCTTCACAGTTACTAATAAATGTTCTATTAGAGAAGCCTTATACACTTATGCATGCTCACACCCACACACAAATAGAAGCAGGGATGCTTATGTAGGCTTTATATGTAGATATATAGATATGTATATTAATGTATATTCATGTGTATGTATGTATGTATATAGGCATAGGTATGGGTATATATATTTATGGAAACTTACTGCAAAGCCATGAATATTTTAAGTTCTTTATACATATGTATTTTATTGCTGTGTTTTGTCATGTTCTTTG